TCTATGCCCTGATGGCAACAATCCCCACAAAGATGTTGACAGGTTACCATGGTGAGCTTTGGTGAACTCGCAACGCAAGTGCCGGCCTATGAACTTGGAGTTAAATAGTGTAATTACCGCCATTCGGTGGGCGGTCGGCAGACAGAAGACCGTCTCTGAAAGACAAGACTGTGAAGCAGAAGGGTTAAGAGTGTGACACCGCAGCGTGCTTTAGAGAATCTGAATAACAATAGGAGATAATTAACAACAACAGCATCACTTCCTCACCTCCCTGTCTAAAGCATGTAGAGAATGCATGTGTATGCCGAGAATGCTACGTATGCACGATACTTGCGTATTTATGTTGTGTCCAATCTTCCGTTGAGAAGTGTTTATATGTGATGGTATGTACTCAGATGCAGCTGTCTCTGTTCTGTCTTGTGCTGTTGAGGGCAGTATGAGGGGAAATGCTTACATGAATACAGAGGAGCAGACACACAAAATGCTATTTTGAACTGCAATAACAGAATACACAAAGGTCTGCAGCACTTACTGTAGCTGTTGTCTTTTTAATTGTTAATCTATTATAGCACTCTGGAAGTTGCAACACTTATTTCTAGTGTCAGTATCACATGTATTTTTCATCTTTATTCCCTTTCAGCTGGCTCCTGGTATCTATGGAGGGCTGTGTAATTATTTACAACAATAGGCAGCCTCAGTGTAACACTGACTTAATGCACACTTTACACCCACAAGGGCAAACGCATCTAACTCTTGTTATCAGAGTTGTTGAGATGAAGCGTGGCACATGATGACAGTTTCTTAAATGTTGGATTACTCTTTCTTCTGTTTTCTCTGTGGCTTTGTGCATATCTGTTTTGTTTAAAAAGTAGCCATTAAAGATGTTAGTCAGGACTGGTTCTACCATTTTAAGTCATTGAAGTCATCTTTATTTAGGACTTTATAATATATCCCGTCTTTCTCAGGTTTGCTTATTTTAACAAAGACTAAATTAAAAATGAAATCATGTGTGAAAAAATATTGGTACTTACAAACTTTTCCAGGTACTTAATTG